ATTGGTTTATCAATGATACCAGTTGTATTGCTTCAAGAATTTAGCTTAGTTAGCAGTTTCTTACTCCTGATAGGTTGGACCTGCCAGCTCCCAGTTGGCCAATTAGAAAACACGGCATGCTTACCTGAAATTAGAGTGTCTGCATCCCAAGCTGCCATTGTAGCATGGGGCAACAGCTACTGCGTTTAATCACAGAACTGCTTTAAAGCCTTGGAAATGGGGAGTTGTGCCCCTTTGTGCTCATCTTGGTGCTGATGAAAGACTTGCTGAATGTTCTCACAACCTCTGTAAGAAGAGCTGTGTTGGGTGTTTGTTCAAGGCCCATTCTCCCTTATTGCTCCATGGCCACTGTCTGTCCCTCAAACACAGCCCTGCTGGGATGGAAGGGCTTTGGTGTCCTTGCTGAGAGGTAAGAACCATTTCCTAGCTAACATTTTGTTGTTACAATGGAAGACTGTGTGCAGTGTATTGGAGTGAAAGGGGTTGAGCTGGGCAGATTGGAAGCAGGCATCCCATGTAGACCCGTTGTGTAACGGTGCATTTCATAAATTCTGCTTAACTTTCCTTGGTACAAAATAACCTTGCAGAGCTGGGAGGGAAGTCTGTGCTTGCAACAAAGTCCAAATGCAAACAGATTTGTGGGAATTATGAGAAGTTAGCAGCGCTGATTTGGATGGAAAGGCAGACCTGGGCATCTGGCTGCTCTTAGGGTGTTGTGCTCCTGCTTTGCAGGCTGCAATCTGTGCAGGTTCCTAAGAAGGAACGGATCCACATGTTGTATGTGGGGCTGCTGGGTGTCCCCCCGCTTGGTCTGCTTTGTGTTGAAACCCATTTTGTCTGGGGAAGAGCAAACGGTCTGGGCATGCTGCACAAGGGAGGTTTCACCCAGCTCTTGTGTAACGGTGTCTCCGTTTCCCTGTCTCCAATGGAAGTTGCACGCTGGGTGCGTGTGGCATTGCATTCACCCGTCTTAGCACATGTTCTAGGTTGTCTCTGTTGATCCATGGCCCCCTGTGAATGGTCACACCTGAGCTGTGGGCCTTTCCTCTCGTCGTTAGGTGCTTCTGCTTCTCAGAATTCACAGCTAACATACACATAACGTTACACGAAATGGCTCTCAGCAGCACTGAGTGTTTCTGTCTTCAGGATCATTGAGGGTTTTTTAACTGTCCTCTCTCTGATGCCTCTCATTCTCATAAACAATTTATTATGGTGGAATTAATAATGAAAATATGAAATTCTGGTTTCAGTGCTACTGAGCCATTGTCAGTTTGGTACTTTGTGCTTCTTGAAGCAGTTGTCCTTTGTCTTCTCAGCCAGCCCTGGTGAGCTCCACTCTGAACAGACTTCCTACAGTGCCATGCAGCATTTGCACAATGTAGCACATGAACTATTTCATCTTAGCTGGTACTGAAAGTAAAGCCTTAGCTGTGCTGCATCAAGGTGCTGTGCTCACGTGGAGCGCTGTCAGCTGAGCCAGGGGAGGTTCAGGTTGGGTATTAGGAAACATTTCTTCTCCAAAAGAGCAGCGATGCAGTGGCACAGCTGCCCAGGGAGGCTGTGGGGTCACCATCCATGGAGGTGTTCCAGGACTGTGGGCATGTGGCATGGTGGGATGGGCTGGGGTTGGACTCAGGGATCTTGGAGGTCTTTTGCAACCTGAATGTTTCTATGATTCAAAGAGGACATGGGGCCCTGTGTCAGGTCCCAGCAGCATGGCTATTTCTGATGGTCGGGTCCTGTTACACACGGTGTGTTAGCTCTGACTGCTCTCAGCAGTGCCCAGCAGGCTGCAAGCAGGGAGATTGCTGTGATTAGTGTTATTTCCACAAGTGGATTACTTGAAGGGGATTAATAGGCAAAAAAAAAAACAACCCAAAACCAACAAAAAAAGCCTTGCTGTTTCAGTTAGGATCTTACAATTTGTACCTACGTTCCAACATCTCTTCCTTTAGGAAGTTCTCAAAACAATTGCAAAAATTTCATGTTTTTTTTTCTCTTCTGAGCCACAAGTGAGCAAAATGTAAAGGCTTTTGCTAAGGTTTGTCATAAGACTATAAAAATATCACCTGGGGGTGGCAGTGGCTGATGGCAGCCCCTTTGAGTGCTGGTTGTGTTTGTAGGCACTCGCACTCCACCTTTCTTGGTTACCCTTGGTGTAGCTGGTGCTGCAAAAGAAAAGCTGTTTGTGTGTCAGAGCGTGGAATTGCTTTTTGTAATTAAATACCAATGGTTTGTTTATGGTTTTTTTTTTGTTTATTTTAGGGATAGACTTCAAGATTAAAACGGTTGAATTACAAGGAAAGAAGATCAAGCTACAGATATGGTGAGTAGCCAAGCCAAGAAGCCGCATGGTGCCATCCTCTGGGTGCTTTCCTTCAGAAGCGGATTCTCCTTCCAAGATTACATTGGGGAATCTAATTTTGTTGGAGCTGTGTATTTTCAGAAGTGGAGAGGCTCCAAGTGTAAAGTTCCCTTCTTTTTTTGTTGTTCTTAAGAAACAGGGAAGAGATGAGGTGCTGCATTGATAGCTGCTGTTGCTGGGCTGCTCTTTGGGACGGACTGTTAACACAACTCCTGGTTGGGACGACAGAATCCTTGCAGTCTGTGATCTAGTGGGAAGTGTTTTAAAACTTGAATCCTTACAATAAGAGTTGCTTCAGATCTCAAACTTTGCATTGTCAAGCGACCTTCCTTTGCCTAAGCAGTCCACCTCCATGCTTACTTTGTATTCTTCCATAGCAAACTAAAGAGTTTCTCAGCTGGCTGTTCCATAGGAAAGTCTCACATGAAGCTGGATGTGCACTGTTTTCCCTCTGTTCGTTCTGCACGTCTAACTTGCATAACTTTTTCCCCACTCCTTCCCCGTTTAATAGCCCTGTGACAAGTCAGATCAGGAAAGCTAATGGCTTCTAGCCCGTGTTTTTGCTTCAGCTCCCCCTTCAGCTGACTGTGTGTACTGCTCATGCGTTCTCTAGCTGTGCTGTTCACAGCATTTGCCCCTTTTTGTCCCTGTTCATTAAAAAGTCCATCTTGTTATTGCTACTCAAAGCATGCATCCCATCTCTCAGTTGATTCTGGTATTGCAGTCCTGCCAGCAACTCCTTAGCAGAACTGAGGCAACTTAGTTACTTTGGTTGCTGAAGTTGCTTTTCCTGTGTAGGCTGGTCGATAATGAAGCACTTGGATGAAGTAGCTCTGTGTAGCACTGCAGTGCTTCATCAGGGAGCCACAAAGGGCAACCATCTTCATAAGGGCAACGTTTTAGATTGAGATATCTGAAGTAAGAGGAGTATAGATCAGCTGGGAGCTGAAAGCAGGGCAGTGAGGGAAGGCACTGAGAGAGCATTAGCTAAAGAGGCATTCAGGTGTAATAGCTTCATCGATTGACGTGCTTAGCATCTCTTGCTATGTTATCAGTTCATTTAGGTTTTCAACAAGATCAAATCACGTCTTCAAACAGTCTTTGTGCGTGTTACCTTTTTGCCACAGCAGTCTGGTGCTGTGAGTTACATGGCTTTGCTGTGGACAGAGCAAAACATTGGATGGGCTTAAACTGAACGCTGGAAAACGTCATCATGAAATGGTGAAATGTGAAAACAACAGATATGCAATGTTGGGGATTTGGAATGCGTGTGTAGACAGAGAAGCAAGCCATAATGAAGCTGCAAGTGCTGTGGGTTTTAGAGGCTTAGAGAAAGGAAAGAAAGAGGGGTTTCAATGAGCTGAGGTTAGTTAAATTGTAGCCTTTAGTTGAGGTTGTCTGAATCTACAAAGACCTGCTTCCTGTTCTTGCTAGTTCAAAGTTTCACATTTGAAATGAAACTTGGAAAGCAGAAAATAAAGTTCCTATGGCATGCACTCCTGATGCCACAACAAAACAAACCACCTCGCCTCTCAGATGCTGTATTTTCCAGCTTTGCCTGTACAAGGAGTTGAGCTCAGCAGTGGTTTGGTTTAGAACAGCAGTGACTTTGGGTGAAGATGCTTTGTGCAGTGCATCTATATTTAACTCCCACTTCCTGTGTTTAAACTCAGCCTGCACTTCTAGTAGTTGTGTAACACATTTCCACATTGCACTTCACTGCTGCAGTAATTTAGGGATGCTTTGAGTGGAACATTTCCCATAGAAGCTCAAGGCTGTACTGATAGCTTTTCCTTGTGTCCAGAGTATGGGTTGTGTTTTATACAGGAGCTAACACAGCTGAATCAGAATAAATTTGAGCCATAGGAAGAACTTCCACAGTGGGACACAGCTCCATGCTTGAATAAAATCATCAGAAGAGAAGGAAAGACTGGGAGATAGAGAGCAGTACTTCTCAGTTAAGGGCAGGAGAAAAGACACCGGGTACCTTCATGTTTTCAGTCAATATTTAGTTGCAGACATGCTTCTGCATTGCATATCCAGCAACATATGATGCAGCATACTCATCAGAATTTACAGAAATAATGAAGGAAACAACAGAAATAAGTTCCTGGGTTTTAAGTTAAGATTTTGACCTGTTTCTCGCTGCTGCATGTAATTCTCCATTGCCCACGTGTTAAATCTCTCTGCCTACCTGCAGAACTGTATCACTGGGTCCCAATACCCTACAGTGTCTCCAAAGTGTCAGTGATTTGGAGGACAGGTGGCTTTGCACTGCTTGGGGTGGAGCTGCAGTCTCAGTGGGCAAGCAGATGAAAATGGCACTTTCTAATACAGCTCTGTGCCTTTCCTGCAAAACAGGGCAGCTGCCTTCCTCAGGCATGGAAAATGAGCAGACGTGGCAGTACCTCAGTCATGCCTTGACCTCTGGAATATATATATAGCAAGAATATCAAGGTCAAGCTGAGTTAAACCTTGCCAGAGGTGATAAGCAACTCGATACCTCATTGCTATTAAAAAGTGGGGTTGCTGTTCAGTAAGGATCAAGCTAGGATTAGTGTGTTCATGTTACATTTGGAGCAAATGTGCCAAGCATTGAAGTAGGAAGCTTGGGACTAGGGGAAACAGTGGTGGGCCTGGAAGCAAATGGGGCTGTGTTGGTGTGCAGGGAGCTGCTGGGTGGCCTTGCTTAGGCTGAGCAAGCCCTGAGGAGTGCTTGGGCTGCAAGCCAAGGAGGATGGGGCAGAGCTCAGGGCTGGCTTTGTGAAGGAGCAACAGCAGGAGTCAAGGTATGGCAGCTTCTGGGTGGTGGCACGTGATGGAGGGATCAGTGATCTTGGCTGGGCTGTTGAAGTGCCCCTCTGCTGAGAAATGCTGCTGGCTTAAAGTATATGGTGGAAAATCATATGGAGAGCCACAGGTAGTTGTACTGTTACAGAATGAGAATAGAAATACTGAAGTTGGGTGGCGTCTGGGAGGCGTGACACTGAGGAATGCCTTGAAAAATGTTTGTATTTTCAGTGACTGTCATGAGTACAGAGAAGAGAGGGAAAACAAAGGTGCCAGCAAAAAGAGAGCGAATTGCTCTGGGGAATGTTGTTATTATTGCAGAAGAGATGAAATGCTTTTGAGGAACAGAGAAGCAGGGCTAAAAATTCAGCTGTTAAAACTAACAGCATGCTCTCCAGGACTTGGGAAGAGTTGCTTTGAAATGGAAACCACAATGCTTAAGCATACTGTAATTCAGTAGCCTTATTAGGGTAGTGTAACAGTGGAAAGATTGAATGTGATTTTTCTGATACAGTGAGTGCAATGGTTTCCAGTGGACAAGGAATTGTCAGTGCTTGACACTGCAGTTCAGATCAGTATGTGTTAGAAAGGGCAAGTAGGATTGCAGGGGGGTGTAACAGCTGTACTAAAATGAACTGGGAAACACAGAATTCTTAGGGTTGTGAGGAAAAAAAAACCAAAGCATGCTTTCAAAATAGTGGGTATGGTGGAGAAGGTGGGCAGAGGTGGATTTAACTCATGTCCTTTTGTAATACAAAGGCAATACAAGGGCACTCCTTGCAGTTTGTGCAAGGCATGAGGAAATGAGGTGAAGCTGTGGAACTCCCCATTACAAGATGTTTTGGTGGCTGTAAATGGGAATTCACAAAAGAACAGCTCGTTTTCCACTGTTAAACATGCAGATGTGATCTCTAGCTGCAAAAGTCCTGGAACTACAAAGGACTGGGGGCTGTGGAACCTCTGGCCTGACCAGGTATGCAGCTGTGTGTTAGAAGAGCACACACAGATGAGATCTGGCTTTTTCATCCTGTGAGATGAAGGAAATGGAGGCCAAAAGGAAATGCTACTGTCGTTCAGAAGTACGCAGCAGTAGCAGATGCCATAGAGGAGGGGAGAACTCATTAAGGTCAAGGACAGTGGAAATCAGAGTTGCTGGAAACCCACCAGCAGCAGTGAGAGACTTGGAGGAGATCCTGGTCAGCGTAATGGAAATAAGACAGAGAAAGGAAAACATGGAGGAAGAAGCACCCAGATCCACCAGGTATTTTGGAATAGAACTGGAAAAATAAGAGGCTCGTGCTGCACCCTGTATTGCTATGGCAGAAGAGTTTTGCTAGGAGCCTCTTTCCAGTTATTTAAGAACACTGTGAAAATTGCTTGCAGAAAGCACAGCTGCTTTTTGGTCTCTGTCCACAGACTGAAGTGTGGTAAGAAACAAACAACAAACAACAAGGAGTTGTAAGAGCAAATCCGAAATGTGGATTTACAGGATGTTGGTGTTGGGAAAGTGAACTCCACAAACCAAGCACACTGATGTTGGGTAGAAGAGAGCAGCATGCGCACAGAACTGAAGGCATCTATTTTTCCCTTCTTTTTCCACTGCTCAGCTGGCACTGATCCTCCCTTCATAGGACTTGTATGCCCGTGTGCTTCCTTACCACCTTTCTGACTGGTTTACTTCTTTGATACGCAGTTCTTAATTGCATAGAGGTTCATGATGCCAAATTAATCAGTGCTTCTTCACCAGGGAGCACATCCATGTGGGTGGAGAAGTTTCTTCACAGTTCCTGGTTCAGCAGTGGGCTCATTGCAGGAATAACCATCCTCAAGTGAAGGAAGCTGTAGCTGTAGATGTCCCTGTTCATTGCAGGGGAATGGAACTGGATGACCTTTGAAAGTCCCTTCTACTCACATGAGTTTGTTATTCTATGAAGTGTCTTTCCACTGTAGCAAGCTGAAGTGGTTACATGTGGGAATTCCTTCAGAAATACAGGAGTTTGCATAGAACAAGGATGGTGGTGTCCAGCCTGAGCTGCAGACAGCTCCACTAACGAGAGTGCAGTTGGTCCCATTCAGATTTGCAGTTATCCTGGGGATGTTGAAAGGTTCATTTTTGCTGCTGACAGCCTCGGAGACAATCCACCATGCACGTGGCTCAAGGTGGAAGAGCATGTTGTGGTGTTTTCTGTCTTCCTATAAAGCAATTTGATGCTTTTCTAATTACAGATCTCTATGATATTTTTTTCTCTGGCAGAAAGCCTGAAATTTCCAATAGTAAAGTGTCTGCCAGACATGGAGCTCTTGGAGCAGGTGCAGAGGAGGGCACTGAGATGATCAGAGGGCTGGAGCAGCTCTCCTGTGAGGAAAGGGTGAGGGAACTGGGCTTGTTTAGCTTGGAGAAGAGAAGGCTCCGGGGAGACCTCATGGTGGCCTTCCAGTACTTGAAGGGAGCATAGAAACAGAAGGGGGAACGGCTGTTTGTGAGGGTGGATGGTGATAGGACAAGGGGGAATGGTTATAAACTGAGACAGGGGAGGGTTAGGTTGGAAATTAGGAGGAAGTTTTTTCCCTCAGAGGGTGGTGAGGCACTGGAACAGGTTGCCCAAGGAGGCTGTGGATGCCCCATCCCTGCAGGCATTCAAGGCCAGGCTGGATGTGGCTCTGGGCAGCCTGGGCTGCTGGTTGGTGACCTGCACACAGCAGGGGGTTGGAACTGGATGAGCATTGTGGGCCTTTGCAACCCAGGCCATTCTGTGATTCTATGATTTTTCCTGTGTGAAGGAACATCTTTGGCCCAGTTGCCAAAGGTCCTGATGTGTACCCAATACCAGCAGTCTGTTTTCTTCAAAGCAGAATCCTGCTGTGCAGTTTGAAGAATATTAGAGGCAGAAGCAATGGTACGGCCGTGAAATACTTGGGGTTATTTTCTGTGAATGTTTTGGCTCAGTGGGCTGGGGACCATCATTTCAAGCTGAGCCGACAAGACGGATCTTCACAGATGATCAGATACAATCTCCTCTTGTTGCATCCATGTCAGCCCTTCGTAAACAAATCATGGTGCATTTTAAGGCTTCTTTAGTCTCCGCTCGGTCAGCTGGAAAGCTGTCCCAGAAATTCCTTTCTCTGTTGGTTGGATTCTAATATAATATAGTTTATGCATACTTTAATGTCAGCATGAGAATAATTTACATAGATTTTTTCATCTTCCTTCTGTTTCTTCTTCCGATTCCCACAGGACAACCTTCTTTGTCTTCACATTGCAGCTAAACAAACTGAGTTCTGTCTCCTCTCACACAGCAGGGCCTCATTTTCTTTGGCTATCTTTGTAGACTTGTCTACGTTTATTTTAGCTTGGAGAGCTAGCTGGCTTCCACAAATATTTCACCTACATCAAGGATGTAACGCACACCTGTAGTTTCAAAGCGTGTTCTTCCACCCTAGAGCTCTGAACAGAAGAATGGCAACCCAGGGCAGAGGGTGAGACAGGAGGTCTGCCATTGTGCTCTGCCATTTACTCAGGGCGGATTCATCATCTTGGGCACTTAGGAAACCATAACTCACTTCCTCTGTTTGCTCCAGTCAGTTCTCTAATCTCACCTGCATTAAGAGTTATCTTTGAATAATGAATGGAGAGATCCATTAGGGAGGAGAAAGGGCAAATAATGCTGAAAAATTAAAACCAATACAAAACAGGTTCTTTGCATTTTCCCTCCCCATCTTGGTTTTTGTCCATTATCTTAGCTTCAGTTGCCTGAGAAAATACTGGAGGAGTAAGTGAGGCAAGTTGGTGGTGGGTGCGTAGGACTTGACAAGCAGTGAGTAACAGCTACATGTTGCCAAAACCAAACTGTAAAAGTCAACCTGAGTTCTATGGTGGTTGTTGGCCTCGTCAGGAAGGGAGAAGCTGTGAGTGTCATATATCTCAGTGGTTTTGGTAAGGCTTTAATGAGACTGTCCTGCCTCGTAGAAGGAAGTTAGGGGGAAATGCATTAGGTGAAGGTGCTGTCCAGTGTGTACAAGGCTCACAAGGAGAGAAATTATGTGTGAGTAGGAGCTCTTTTGAGATATTTTGATAGGGCAAGGGGGAATGGTTTTAAACTGAGACAGGGGAGGTTTAGGTTGGATCTTAGGAGGAAGTTTTTCCCCCAGAGGGTGGTGAGGCACTGGCACAGGTTGCCCAAGGAGGCTGTGGATGCCCCATCCCTGCAGGCATTCAAGGCCAGGCTGGATGTGGCTCTGGGCAGCCTGATCTGCTGGTTGGTGACCTGCACACAGCAGGGGGTTGGAACTGGATGAGCACTGTGGGCCTTTTCAACCCAGGCCAGTCTATGATTCTGTGATGTATGATGCTGAGCACGGTGTTGGGTCTTGCACCTCAGTGAGACGTGGATCAGTGCGAGGTAGTCCAGAGAGCAGCAAGCAAGGCTGTGTGGGTGAGGCCTTCAGCCAGGGAATAAAGTCCACAGAGCTTGGGGTGGCTTCAGGGAATTCAGGGGGCGTGCAAGAGCTGTGTTTGATCTGTAATTGAGGCCGGAAGGGCAGTGAACTCCTCTGCAAAAGTAAGATGAGGATTGAGCCTTAAACTGCGGGAGGGGAAGCCTAAGTGTGCCGTGGGGAGAACCTTCCAAATGGGACAGAAAGGAGGAGAGAGGGGGAGGGAGTTGTTGCCATTCAAGCCGGCTGTTGGCAGAGGTCTTCAGCAAAACCTCAGCCATCTTTTAACCCCATGTGGGCACGCCGTGGTGGTTTTAGGGCCAGGGAATGGACTGGGTTGCTGAGGTTACTGCTTTCCCAGCAAGGAAATGTGTGTCAGCTGGGGAGCACAGTGACTGCCTGGAGTGGTTGGGCATCATTTCAAATTAGGTCAGATTGGGAAACACCTTTGATTCTGGCTTTTGCAAATAGTGTCACTGAGAACTCTGTAACAGTGTAATCCGTAAGGTTTGTGTCCTCTGAAAGATGTGCAGTTAAATCCAAACTCTGAATTTAATGGTATGCAGGCTTGGTTAACCAGCTCTCACACATCTCGTTCAAAGATACCAAAATGAGATGGGAAAATAGATGCCTTCATTAATCTTTCATGATTGATTTTCTTCCTCGCAGAAATTGACAGCTTCATGCTACAGTTGTAGTACATCTCCTAGATGTACAGTTTCAGCAGCAGAAAATTGTTAGATCAAGTTAAAGCTTTATAAAACTGATCAGAAAACAAGGTCTGAGTTCTGGGAGATGTTGCATGCTTCTCTTCATGGCTGGAGGTGGAAAGGGACACTTTCTGGTGCTGTTGGGTGAAGTCATCACTTCTCCCAGTTCCAACCTGCCTCCCAATAGCTTCGTTCCACCGAGGCTCAGAAGTCTTTGGGATGCAGCCCTGAGATGAGAAACGTGGAAAGGAAAGTTTCTTCTTCTGGGAGGAAGTTTGAAGTTGTCATTAAAAAGTATAAAGTTTAAAATGAAGTTTCCTACTGTGAGTAGATATCAGGTGTGTTGATTGTGGTGAGACGCCAGATGACCTGCCACTGTGCTCAACGGGTAACTAAGAAGGCAGAAAATGAAGCTGTGCAAGCCCAGTTAAGCTGTCCAATGTCTTTTGTTCAGTTGAACCTGAAGTGTGTTCTTTCAAAGCCAAAAAAATCCACTCCCCATCAGTAGTGGTGCAGTAAAGCACATACTGTGCCATGCACTCTTGGCTTTACAGGTAAACGCTGTTGGTTTCTTTATGGCTTGCCTCTGATGTTCTCTCTTACCTGATCTTTTTGCAGGGACACAGCAGGGCAGGAGCGGTTTCACACCATCACCACCTCCTACTACAGAGGTGCCATGGGAATCATGCTAGTATATGACATCACCAATGCCAAGAGCTTTGAAAACATCAGCAAGTGGCTCAGAAACATAGATGAGGTGAGTAAATGTGTAAGATCCCAGAGTGAGCAGTCTGCCAGCTTGTGATGTCCTGCAGAGCCCAGCTTCTGGTGTGACAGCACAGGGATTTGGTGCTGTTCTTACCCTGACTTATCTCCTGTATGAGCTCAGCTCTCCCTTCAGTACGACAAAGGGTTGCACTGGGGCTGGTGGTGTCCTGAAATGTCATATTCATGCACAGGCTCTGCAGTGGAGCATGCTTGGAGGTAAGGGATACATTTTTGGTAACTGGCAATTGCTGTTTTCAGGAGGAGCTGCCACCACAAGGCAGTGTGCAGGGGAGCAGCACGAAGCAGTAAGCTGTGGAGTTGCTGTAGAATATAACAGCTCTGTGACTAAGCTGTTTTATTAGGCTGTGTAGTCCTCAAAGATAGTTAAATATGCTCACCTTTGCTCCCTCTAAACTGATGTCGTGGTGAAAGGATCTTGCAGAGCACAAATATTGCGGTGGGCCTTTAGTTGTGGCAAGGCAGAGATTGAAGTGGGTACAGAAGTAGAAGATGGGGAAAAGAGCAGGCTAGGACAGGGAGGAAACTCAGCAGAGAACCAAAGGTAAACTTGAAATCAAGGCCTTTATGTTCTGCAGTTGCTGTGTTTAAAACACTCAGTAGTAACCAGGAAGTGGAGCAGTGACTGTAATTCATGCCGTTGTCTGAGATAGTGAGGGTTTTTTTGCTGACCTCATGTTTGCAGATCTGTTGCACAGAGCTTTGCAACTGATTTCAGGTGCATGGTGAGGGCTGCACAATTGCTGCAGTTTTATGAGGGGTGTTTGACACCTTAGGAAGCTTTTGTGATTATGGAAGAAGCCCCCAAGTGGAGAGCATGTACAGAAATGATGGGTGAATTCTTCCTTCTGAGTTTCCTGCCCCAGCATTCAGGCTTCTTGCTAAAACATGTGGTGGATGTTACCTCCTCACCTACAGGGTTATTGTGAAGGACAGTTGGCAAAAGAAACACTTAAAAACACTTCTGTTTTACAAGGAGTTAATATTGCCAAGGATATTCTGTCAGTAATGAAGATTCCAGATAAGGAAGCTGGTGTGACTTGCTGCCCTGTGTGAGGGGGCTCTTCCATAGAACCAGAAACCCTGATTTAGAAATAACCAGGAAAGCTACAGATGTGTAACAATGCTGCACCTTCCTCCTTGCTCAGTACCTGATTAGCTAAAGCTCACATTCTGCAGAGTTGCACCACACAAAGAGTGCACTTTTACTGTGGGGTATTCAAGTCAGTTGAGTTGTTTTGGTGCTGCAGTTTTATCCATGGAGCCTGGCTGTTTTTGTCTGCTGTGGAAGCAGTTCTGTGTGCATGAAACACGAACATTTTTGATGTCTTATCCTACACAACATCTTAATCTTTGCTATTAGATGGTTCCTTCTCCTTATGACCTGAAGGAGAAAGTTGGAGGTGGTTCTCTTCAGGAATGTGAAACAGGTTGTTACTATAAGCAGGAGTATTGGATACACGAATCTGTGTTAGTAATTGTGCTGCAAAGTAGCATTAAGACTGCTGGAGTGAAAGTAAATGGAGATTAGGCTTCCCAAGAAGCTTCTCATGTCAGGCCTCAAAGCACTTCAGTTATCCACTTAAGTGATGCTTCGTGCCGTGGCTCTGCTGTTCTGATGGATATCCTTGGCATGTTCTTTCTTTATGATGATGGCTGTTGGTGATCTTTCAATAACAGAACAGCCAAGGTATTTTTGGCTCCTGCAGCATTCCTGGAGAAGCCCTTGGTGCCCTGTTTTGCCTTACAGGGCTGATTCCCTGTGTATGGGGTCCTGTTTTTTGCTGGTTCTTGAGCGTGGTGCTCGCTCTGCTTCTCCCTTTATGATGATTTTTGCCATTCGAGAGACTTACCTGTCTACAATAAAGCTGTGTAGAGGGGTCCTTCAAACACCAAGAAAAAGTAACAGTGTCAGCTGGAGCCATTGCAGTGTATGGAGCTCAATTGTTGGCAGCTGTGGTGTTTTGTCCTCTCCTGTTTAGTCCTTTGTAGCACTTCTATAACTGTGGTAATGCTGACATCTCCGAGCGCCAGGCAGGAAGCCATTTATTATCCCACATCTCTGAATGCAACCCAGCCAAGGTTTGACATGCTGAAGGTAACTGGAAGAATCTGAGTTGGGAAACAGTGCTTAGTTCTCTTTGGAAAGGAAGACAACACGCTTGAGAATGTACAAACAAAAAGGAAAGGGAGAAATAACTGATACTGGGATGGTGAGTTCCATCTTGTGCTACTGCCATTGTTTCATTCTGCTTCCTCTTTGGTCTGAAGGTGGAGTGACCTCTAGCAGTCTTTGTTAGAATTCAGGAAATTGCAGGTCCTGTAAGTGTTAGCCTGCACTTCAGGCAGTCTGGAAGTACAAAAATGCAATAGATACTTGCTGCTGGTTGGGGGAGATGTGTCAACTTGGCTCTTATCTCATTTTAGCATGCCAATGAAGATGTGGAGAGGATGCTGTTAGGAAACAAGTGTGACATGGAAGATAAAAGAGTTGTTCCTAAAGCAAAAGGTGAACAGGTAGGTGCTGGAGACAAACTTGCTTTTCCAAGTAAGCACATCAGTGCCAGGGGTTGCACTGTTGTTGGGTGGTGTGGATTCCACAGCGGGGTATGAGATAGCTGGATTTGCTGATAGTGTGTAAGCCTGAGCAGCACGTTCTTAGAAGCTGCACTGTGTTCAACTGCCATGAATGGAGTGAGCTCAGCTGCAGTTTCTTTTTGGATAGCTCGAATTCCTTGATTATCCTTTGTGAGGTTGCTTGTGCTGTGACTGGTCTGCGTGGTACCTGTCCTCATTCACTTGTGCTTTAACACACTTGAATTTCTGATTCTGGTGGTTACGTTCCAAATTGGTTTTGATTGACCAGTACTGCTGCTTCTGTGCTGAGAGAATGCTGTGTGCTTGTCGTGTGAGCAGCACCAGCTGAATAACCCCACGGGGATGATAACCTTCCTTCTTCTTCTGTCTTTTGGTTTAGATTGCTAGGGAGCACGGTATTAGGTTTTTCGAAACTAGTGCGAAAGCAAATATAAACATTGAGAAGGCATTCCTCACATTAGCAGAAGACATTCTTCGAAAGGTAGGTGATGGTGGGATCTGGTTGGGGGAAAATTGAAATCCTAAAATGTCAACTCATATTGCTTTGGATGTTCACCTTGTGACTTCGGTATGCTAAGGCAATCAAGCCCCAAAGGAGGAGTGTGTGCTCTGAAAGCTTCAGAGCTTCTGAAGCCTGTTTGATGCTTCGTTGCTGTGCAGGTGCTATCTAAAGGAGGTGGCATACACCAAAGAGCCAAGGAATCTAAATTCAGCCCTTAAACTCATTTGATTCACACGTAGTGCTTGAAGGTAAAAACACCAGAATGAATTTGGAGGAGAATTGGCCCTTCCCTGCCACCTTCATTTGTTCCTGCTTTGTGAACGTGGGTGTTCACTGCTTCCTGTCTCGAATGACCGAAGCTTTTTTTAATCCTGAGGAGACCCAAAGTCACTGGAACCTGAAGGGATGAAACCTGGGCCTGCTTTCCTGTCTCCCTGTGTCAGGGAGTCCTCAGATTTCTGTTCTGACCAGGCTGTAAAACTACAGCCAAAGGAATTTAACAGTTGGCAGTGACAGAGAATCCATTGGACCCCCAGTAATTCTGGTGGCTGTGCTTCAAAACTTACTGCTTTAAGCACTCGATTTCTGCTGTGTTGCAACGCATTTCACTGTAGAGATCAGATTCTCACATAAGGGAATCCTCTGCCTTTTACCATATTTTTCCCTGCCACCTTTTCTTCAGTTATGCCACTTTTATTTTTTTTCCAGTTGAATCATTTTTATCAATACTCAACATTGTCTAAAAGCTCTTAAGTATCTGCCAGGAAGGGTTTCAATTGGTGGAAGTGGATCTGTCCCTTAATACAGTCACAGAATGGCCAGGGTTGGAAGGGACATCAAGGATCATGAAGCTCCAACCCCCTGCCACATGCAGGGCCACCAACCTCCCCATTTCATAGCAGCCCAGGCTGCCCAGG